GCACAGGTTCACTTCTAACTTGACATCCAGCTTCCTGAGATAGTCTCTCCTCATGTGACACCAGTGCATGTATTTGATGAGTGTCTGGATTGGAAGCTTGGTATAACTGAGGGCTCTGTGCTCTGATCTTACACTGGTCGTCTGGCTGCATCTTTGGTCTCCCTAGTCTTGTGGCATTTTCTTTCCAATTCGAACTACTGATCTGACCCTTTTCCTCCTTTCCTGTGAGGTGTCTGGGTTGGTCATTATCATGTGCCTGATCCCCGGCAAAAGTCTTTCCCGTACACTCATCTAATGCTGTTGATGCGAGTTGGATTAGGTTTTCCTTTGTTACAAGCTTTCTCCTTTCTCAGTTTTTGTTCCTCAATTTCTGGTGCTTCCTTTTGTTTGCTCTGCCCCTCTGCTCTTGTTTCATCATTTTTCTCTGGATGGAGTCTTTCAACTTCGTCTTAAGATTGGTAATTTTCTTCAAAACTGAGAAAACGTTTGTTAATCCCAAAGGTATAAAAATGGTCCTGATTAAAATGCACCATTTCATTAACTGCAAACCACTGTTTAATTTTTTTTAACAGGAGATTCTGATGGAAGTGTATTTAGAACATGGTAAGAAAACAATTTAATAAGTACGTATGGATTACGACATGTATTTCGTATGTGCGGATTACTAAGCTGTACGTATGGATTAGTAATCCACATGTTGCATTGCATGACTACACTTCAATTCCTTCGACCTGAGCGGGACCAAGAGAGGGTGTGATTTCCTAACAATGGAGACTCCTATGGTAGGAACTACATGTAAACTTTGCTGGTTCCCGACGGACTATGAGATACAGTGTATATGCCTTGAGCATGCATCCGACCTACCACGGACCAATGTTTGCTGGCCCTGGTAGACCAGTCATTCAGGTCATTTTAACTGAGTTCAGAATCATGATTGTCTTCGTCGAGAAAAATAATATTCTTCCACATACCTGAATACCGCGACGTACATGATCCTTCCACATGAACCAGGGAATTCCTGCTATACAGAAAGTCCTTCCACAAAAGCGATCAACTCGGTCAGTGATACAGTGTATATTGTGCATAAGTCCACACACTGTAGGTAGGTTTCTTTTCCATTGTGTGTGACTTGAACACGTATGTTCACGCCACTCATGAACAAAGTGCAAAGCTTTTCAAAAGCATGAAAACGGCGGTGTCTGATTCCGCGGACTTTGATCGCGCAAAAGGCTTCGGCCTTGTGTGATCGTTTTTGAGAGAAGTAGCAAACATAACAAAATGCTAAATTTATGTATTACCATTCAGTAGCAATGATTTTGTGTCTTGTGAGGTAAAATATTCTCTAAATTTGTGTTAAAAAATATGTTTTTCCCTTGAAGAAAAACGAGTGTTGCCAAATTCGATAATTTCCTACTGTCAAATAAGTTTTCCTGGTTATAAAAAGACAAAATGAGAGCCGACGAATTTCTCAATAGATTGCATACAAACATGGAATCTAATGAATCTGAAGAAATCTTACGAATAAAAGTAAAATGTTTCTGTTGTAGTGTTCGAAAATCGTTCCGTTTCTCCTTAATTTCTTATTCGAGAAGTCTTTTCCAGTGTTGTCTGCTCGAAATTGATATATAAGCGTTGTCTTGTATATTCACACCCCTCACTTTGTCGGTGTGCATGCGTACTCAATTCTACTACAGCGAGAAGCAAGTAATGGCTCTTGACTCAGGCAGGTGAACCCTAAAAAATAGTCGATCAATTCCATACCAATTAGTATTTGAACTCTCAAAGTCTCTATTGCCAACCTGCACACTGTAAAAATCCATAGTTTCTCCATATTTTTGCCTTACTTACCCTTATATTTTACCTAGCGTAAAAGAGTCAGAAATCGGAAGTCAAGCCACATATTTTAAGGGCAATTTTTCAGTTTTGGCGGGTTTTTCCTGACATTTCTTTACTTGTGAATGGTGTTGAATATTACGAACGCCCTAATGAGAAAGAAGGAAACCGTATGCATGAGATCGGAAAGTTTTTGTTTATGCCCTTCAGTCGTGTAATTTGACGTCAATGTACCTGTACGTATTAGTGCAATGCAGTAACAGTCAACTCGTACCGAATTGTACTCGTATCCAGAAGTGTTGTAGTCGAGTCAGAGTCCCGAGTCTTAAGCCTCGAGTCTGAGACCAAGTATCGCGGAGTCACAAACCTCGACTCCGAGTCACGAGTTGAAGTTGTTTGGCCAATTCTGTGGCCCCATGCATGAACCTGATATGCCACACAAACCTGAAATTGAAAAAAAATGTAGTTCTAGTTTTTGCCTCTTGCAGTTTTCTATTTGGTCAGAATAATACCGCCCTCTGTATTTAAAAAATAGACCTCCCCAGTTATTGAGATTTTTAGCAAATAAAGATATGATATTACCCTACACATTCATGCATTTAACTCAAAACGTTTGAAAATGTGGCATATCAGGTTCATGCATGGAGCCTCAGAAATATTCTAAGTGTATCAAACCATGGAGGAATATCCGTGATCAGAGTTCACTCACGAGATCTTCAAGGAAATAGACCGTATTCGCAGCGTTCCCAATTTCAGTCGTATTCCCCGACGTAGTGTGTTTATTTAAAAACGTTAAATTCAAAGAACCAGACTATATTCTACGATGTCATTCCGACCCCCAAATCACCTGGTACCACCCCATTACAGGTTTCAAATTTACACTGTACGTTCAGGAATACGACTGAAATTGGGGACGCCGCGAATACGGTCTATTCACAATACAAATCCCTCAAATGGGTCACCACAGATATTGCGCATGCGCAAATACACAAACTAAATGGACGCACAGTGTATGGGTGCAAACTCGCAAAAAAGTCTTGAAATGTATTTTTAAGAGTCCTGAGAACCATGAAATTGAGGAATTGTACAAATATGGCACTGAAGCTCTGGCTGAAGGTTTACGAAAATTCTAACACTGCATGGGGAAATGTTGCCCAGCGCGTATACCGAGGAGAAATGCCGCCAAAATTAATACAGTCCTTGCTACAGAACACAGACTGGTCATTACAGCACAAGAGCAAATCCATGTACACAGTTGCAGTTCCCAAGAACTGCGCTTTTGTGCTTGGTGCTTCATTGCAGCTCCAATACAACGACCTGCCGGTGGTCTGAATAAAGAAATAAGTGCCTGCCCCTGCACGTAGGCTGTCTGCGTCGTTGACAACGGGCAAACGTAAATTTCTGGAAGAGATGGAGACCTTGAGAAAGCAGGAATTTTGTTTTTATCTTGGCAGAACGAAGCAGGCATTAAATTTGAAATAAAGAAAAAGGCGCTCTGTTTTCTTCCTATCCATAGGTTTTGTGGCCAATTTTATTTATCATATTATCGTCATCTTTAGCGCAAACGGCTAGCCATTGGAATTCATTTAACTGTGAATACTCCCTGGCAACCAAACATCAAAAAAATTTGATTCACTTTTTGAGCTCATTCGAATTCAAACTATCGTTCATCTGAATAAGTACAAGAGTCTTTAGAATTATCTACTCGATTTGAGACACTCGAATTTAAACAGTAATAGGGCCTAAGTAGCAAAAGATGACACTGCAGATTGATTCAAAATGAGACAATAATTCTCAGCAAGACCATCGCCATAAGAACATTATTGTACACAGCGGCTTAGATTGCAAGATATACTCTTTAAGCCGTGTCAAGTGCGAACTGAAAACTTAAGGTTGCCGTAAAAAAAGGAAACATCCCATGCACGGGCCTTGATGACATAAACTGGAAAGAGGCAGCCGACAGCAGATGCCGTTAGAATTAAAGATTAAAGGAAGTTAGTCTTGTATATGTCTACGCCAATAAACAGAAATTTGGAGAAGAACCCAAACGATGTTACATAACAAAATCTGATATTACGTGAACAACAAGAGATCTGAATTTCCACAAAATCAAATAAAAAAATAAAAATGTTTTGCTGATATCGGCCAGGAAAACCTGAAATAAAGGGAATTAGATTGGGAAAATCTGATAATGAAAATTTATTTCAAGGTCATGTTCTGTATTGTTTCAGTTTTAGGGGTTTGTGTTGATTTACAAAATAATTAATGTAGCAGGGAAGACCATTGCTGCACGCCGTTGCGTCCGTCGCTGAGCATAGAGGTTCAACCTTGCTGGCAAGATCCCCGGTGTATTATTCACTCGGATGAAAAGACATCCACCCCGGCACACACCTTCAAACTCTGATCACCCGATGAATTGATTTATCTGAGGTCTCAGGAGGGGGAGAACTGAAAAATAAAAACCCTTGAAGATAAAATAGTTTCACACGATTTAGCGTACATATACATGTAGGCCTACAGTAAATACGTGTTCAACTTCTGACAGCTTGTTTAAAGTTTGTACAATTTTACTTGATTACTGAAGCAAAACAGGAAAACCTACCAAAGTTGCAGTATATGTGCAACCCTGGGGAAGTCACTTGAAGAGCACTTCACCCCACGTCCAGCTTTCAAATTCGTTGATTAAGCCGACAGCAACTCACACATCCGGCCACTATCGTACAAGACACATACTGTACATGAGAGAGAGAACGTCGTGTCGAAAGCCAAACGAATAATGGCTAAGTACATGTACTCGTATACCACAGAGTACAAGGTGTAGACAACCCCACAGCTTTAATATTGTGGCGCTACATAAATGTTGTTCTAGGGACTTCCCAACGAGATTGAAAATCCCCACAACATGCAGTTATAATCTCTAATCAGGAAGAACCAAGTTACTAAAAGAGTAAAGTTGGGTTGGTGATAAGTAATTCTTATGTAATGATCAAACTAATTTATAAACTGACGCCGGTATCAAACTGGGTTGTGATAGGGCAGTATCGACAACAAGTATGGAGGGGAAAATGGTACAAAATCAAGTTTAGCGTAAATAGTGAGTATATGGGAAGCCTACTAAATCACAATTCCCCACATCCTCCATCACACACGGAACTGTGAGTGCCTCGATTAACTATTTCCTGGTTGGTATGGGTTTTGAGGTTGGTAATTTCCAAAACAAATAAATTACTGCTGCACAATTCACTATTACAATCGCTAAGGTGTGACACTATACCAATCCACATGCCTCCACGCCTCCCATATTTAGTCTCAACGATGAAAAAGGGCTTTATTTTTTTGAAGGAAAGTTTCTCAATGATCATGACTCACTTGTGTGTGCAGTGGATGTGTGGACCATAACAGGAAGTCATAAAGTTCGATCTGAGCGAATAATCTTTTTCTAGACAATGTTTTTCTTTGAGGCAAAATCTACTTACCGGGTTGAAAGGGTGAGGAAGAAATCCTGTCTTGACTTCAGCATCAGGGAAGTAAACCTGTGATCTTCTTTGTGTTCCTGCAAGTGAAGAACTGGATCCAAACAGTAATGAAATCTGTACTTGGCTGAGAGGGAAGTCAATTAGCGTGTATAAAGCATGGCCGACACATTATGGGGGCGCTGTTTAAATACGGTGAATTCGAAGTAAACCAAAACGATTGTAGCCAAACTAAAAGTATTGTGCCCACTATAATCATCGAGCTAGACCAAGAGAGGACGCTATTTCTTAGCAACGAAAGCTCCGCTGGTAGAGACTGAACTGTACAGGCTCGAGAAGGATTATGAAATATAGGCGTGACGGTCGCATGGCTACCAACAAATTGAACCGTTCCGACGAACGAGGCTCTTCTTGACCGATAATGGGGTGTCTCTGCTCAAATATATCCTCAATTTGTCTGATGGTAAATACCGGTCCAAAAATATGCTGTATTTTTGAGGCTGTGTAACGCGGACTGATGGAGTTCTTACGCAGATCAATGAATACTGCTTGAGAGCACGGTGAAGCCCGGTCGCAAATGACTTGTAGAAGACGCCAGCAATATGCAATAATAAATACTTCGTCGTGATTAACGCAAACATCCACGTAGACATTGGGAAAGTTCTGGGAATCGGGTTCAACGTCGTCCACTTTCTGCGTTAAGTCTCTCGAGAAGGCCCGCTCGAACACCCACAATTGCATGACGAGCAAGAAAGAGAAAAAAGCCGTAGTTCCCTCTGGTTTTGTATGTGCCCTATATGTGGTTCGTGTGCATAAAAGAGCTACACCTGAAAAAGAGAAGGAGAAATTCAAACAGGTGAGTTACTCGCCTGCAGTGTTGGTGGACATTCTGTCTCGCCGCGGCGAGTTAGTTTCTCTTATGACCACTTGTGGACCGGTATAAGACTAGTTATATTTCCACGTTTCCAAAGGCTCAAGAAGTATCTGCAAATAGAGCCCGGAGTTTGGGTAAGTCAATATTGCTCTCTCACATTCCTCTATCCATTGATGCAGTTATCAGATCCATATTTCCTATAGTTAGGGAAATATCTGCCTAAGAAGGTGAGAGTTCATGTCCTACTACTTCTTTGTGGAATTCTCCCTTTAGGCCTACACAATTGAGCATGGAGGAAATAATTGATTAGGCTGTAACTGCATCCAAGACTCCCTCCCCCAAAGCCGTGAACATTCAAGGAAGAAAAGCAATTCACATCCCAGTCAGGAGACAACATTTCCTTGGAATGTTGGCTAAATATCACGTCATTTGTGTTACGCGTAACAGATCATTATTGGCTAACGAAGTAAACCAAAACGTAAGCCTGCATGTAATTTCAAATTCTGAACATAGTTTTAAACTGCCTTTCTCATGCATTTGCGGCTTCGTTGTAGAACTGAGCGCATTTCTATGTTAACGGGACTCCATCAAGACTGCACCTTTTCCCCGATTTTTGATCTTGTTCACTGAATCTGTAATGAGATAATGTCAAACTAGTTTAGGATTTGTTTGGTCTCACGCCCCCCCCTTAATACTTTCCCAATTGGGCGAAAAACAACAAAATTATATTTTATCACAACATGAATATAAAATTATTCATAAGAGTCGACACGTACAAATTTATAATGCTTTCAAGTTCCCAAATGGAAAGTTAATCCCGCTTTCAATTTCAATTATGGCCAACTAATGAAAGAAATCTGTTGCATCAAATAAATGTCTTGTTGAATGCAGGGGTGAGGTAAAGACACCTATTTTCACAATTTCTTAGTTTCCCGATTTCTCTGTGCAAATTTTGAGGAAGAATCGAATGACCCATGTACTCTTTACTTTCGACTCTAGCTTTGCGTAGCTTTGTTACGTACCAATCCCCCAACTTTATTCGAAATCGAGTAACTTACAGATATGTAGTTTCTAACCCGAAGCCTACAAAAATATATGTAAACAGAAGTGTGGATCAATAACATGTAAACTGGTCATTCATAGTTTCCAGGTTATATCTTAAATCCTTTTTATCAAGTTAAATGAATAAGGCACAACAGTAATGCGCAAAGTATTATACCAGCATAGTAACACTGCCAGAATTTTTCATTCTAACAAAAGGGCAGAAATGTGGTCAGTATCATAGAAGTTATAAGCTACAAAAAGGGTAATGCCAAAAGATAACATCCATGTATTCATACTTTCATTTATACATTTAATGATTCTTATGAACCAATTTCCAAAAAACACTTAAAATCTAGACACAAAATTTGTGTGTGTGAAAATCCCGTTATTAGTCGTAAAGATTTGCATCTATAAATGTATGCAATAAATCTGTAATTAAACTTTTAACTCGTACAACATCATGCTGACATCTCTTCATTTACTTAGTTTGTAACCGGTTTAAAGTCAGCATTATAACTAACAATCCAAGCATGTAAGGACATTTAAGAAGTGTTTCAATTTAAACGACCGTGGTACAGAACATCAAATTGTAAATTATCTCAATTACATTTGGTACAAAGACACATCTGTAATGAAACTATAACACAAAGAAATGTGAACTGCCGTAAGTTCAAGTACTTTAGAGAATACCCCCAAACAATCAAATACGATTTCTTACTTCAAATAATTACTAATCGAATCTAGTAATTATTACACCTTGTGGTTCACTCAACTTGTTATCTATGACAAGCGCCCTTTCAAAGGAGTGCAACTGCTTCCTTTTGTCTTCCTTGTAGGCGAATCAGGGTCGTTCGGCAGCTGCATGAAGCGCCCTAGTATGCCGTTGGCGGTACCACGTTATATCTTTTTTTTTACAGTGCATTTCAAAATGTGAAATCTGCATCTTATAAATGAATAATTAGTATCAGTGACCCTGCAACGCCCACATGCCTACTCTAATTGTAATGTGATTCAGAAATGAGAGTTGTCAAGATATGTATTTCGACTGCCATAATCCACTACACCCCTTCTAAATTAGTAACTCTCTTCATCTATACTAGATTCGAGGGCATTGATTTTATCTGGGACCCGGAGGCAACAACGAATACCCTTGACTTGTGACTATGGGCAAGGCATCACAAGGAGTTGTTTTGTTACCAGACTCGTCATATACCGCCTCATTGGCCACGAAATTAACACCACTTTCACATACCTCAGGAATGTGTTCCAGATCATTTTCTTTTAGTTGGCAGTTTCCCAACTGAGGCAATTGAAGATAAATGTCTCGTCTGCCTGAACTGGGAACCCATATGAATATTTGCAGAGTCACTGAAATACAGATTTCCTTCGCCAATATTAAACTCCACCAAAGTTGGCACTTGACTTGTTCAGCAGTATTAAAGATATTCAGTGTCATTGAACCACATGTCCAACTGGCCATACTTCCGTCAGGTTAACAGCATGTACTATCTTGTCAAGATATGGACTCCATCTCTCGGCACCGCCCCGAACTCCAGTTTCCTATTACACTTAGCTATTATAATATGAGGATGTGACTTGGTGCTTCTGCAGGGTGTTCAGTGTCTAAGAGTTCCAGTGTTCACAAGCTCATGTCCAGACAAACACTGCATTTCAACTGGTTTAGACCAGTGGCCGAGTGTTTTTGTAGAGCCTTGCCCAAATTCTGATTTCCTTTGAGGCTGAGGTTTTGCAGAGTTGGCATACGATTCAGTGCTGCAACAAGGTGTTTCATGTCTGTCCTTTTCAGTTCGCACCAGCCCATATCCAGGTAAACAACATGGACCATTTCTTCCAGACAGGGAGCCCATGCTTCTGCAAAACCACCTAGAGCCCAATTGCCCCGCAGCGACAGGTCTTTCAAGGATGGCGTCTTACTCAGTGTTGCTACAAGGTGTTTGATATCTGTGAATTTGAGGTCACACCAGCCAAAGCTCAGGCGAGCAAGATGCACCATTAGGTTTAGATCGGGGGCCCAGGATTTTGCAAAGCCTCCTAGAGATGTATTCCCTTCCAGGCTGAGCTCTGTCAATGATACCATTTGACTCAGTGCTTCAGCAAGGTATTCGATGTCTTTGCTTTCCAGTGAGCAGCTATTGAGAATTAACTTCTCAAGATTTGTCAGGTTTTGTAAGAGTGGAATCCACAAGGATGCCCAACCACTCACACCATGAACTCCGTGGACAGTCAAACTAGCCAAATCTTTGCGATTGCTCAGCGACTTTAAAATGTTTGCCATGTCCTCGTCCGTCAATGAACTAGCCCGTATGTTCGCGTGTATGGAATTTCCCCGTGGCAGAACATTAAATTCTACCCACTTGCCAAGGCTAAAATCACAGTGCATCAGATTACCCATGTCACTAACTGTTTCAACAAGATGTATCAGATCTTCATACTGTATGCCACAATTTCTCATTTTTAGCTTCTTCAAGCTCTTCATGCTCTTCAAACCAGCCACCCATGTTTTTGCGTGCCCACCCAAGCCCTTGTTGTGTGAAAGGTCGAGATCGGTTAAGTTTGCCAGCTCACTTGCCGATGTTGCAATGGCAATGAGATCCTGTGCATTTATGTGACACGAGGTTAAGCCGAGTGATTTCAGTTGATTCATGTCAGCCAAATGGGAAGCAAAAACCTCACTGAATTTTGGCAGACTACTTCTGGCAACAGTCAGTGAATGTATCCGAGAGAGGTAACCGCTTCCGATGTGCCTCAGAAACCACAGGAAGGAGTTCAGCGAGTCATGGGTGTTATAGTCTACAACCATATTCCTAGCAACGAATGCCTCAATAAAATCCACTGATAATAGACTGGTCGACTGACTTTCAAAGTAGCAATTTAGAGCCAATTCCGCCTCTGTTGGAGTCCATAATTTTTTGAACACTGTGTTCAGTACACGTTCCGCACACTGCTCGTTGTCACCACAGCAGAAGCGCAACAAGTTCCCAAAAGCGCAAGGGTCGTCAATTTTGTTATGAATCTCTCGAAATTCCCGATCTTGCAGACACTGATAATATTTACCAGCGCAGTATTCTTGGAATGTCTTATCTATGAACTGCACGATGCTTTGCATGTCCAGCGACTTAATGACCCTTTGACTTTTGAGAACACCTGCCTGAATGGCCCTATCGAGCACACTCCTCTCAAACTCTCTCTCTTGAAAAGAATGTCTTTGTTCAGGGAGGAGAAGTCCTTGAATAGCAGTTTTTCCTACTGCCCTCGCTATTTCCGCTGCAACATCTGATGCTGCTTCTTTTGACAGATGCGGCATCTTTCTTCGAAATATGAACCCCATTGCCTCATCGAAAAGTCTTGACAAGGTATCTGGTAGTTGGGCCCCTTCCCTCCACAATAAGCACATCAGTAACAGTAGCATTGGAATCTTTGTTAAATCAGAGAGGACAATGGATGACCGAATCCTGTCAAGAAGCTTCTCTGCCGTAACAAGGTTATCTGAATAAAACCGCAGAACGTACTGATTTACATCTTCCGGTCTAAATCCTAAAACGCTTACATGAACGAATGGGTGTTGGACAAGTAACTTGCTTGTCAAGTCATCCAAGCAAGAGGGGCGCGTTGTTACAACTACAAACCAATCTTGGCCAACTTTTCGATTTAGCATTTTTAGTACAGAACCGAATTTCGATGGATCGATGTTGGTTGCCTGAAATTCATCGAAGCCATCTAGCAGAATGAGCACACCAGAGGAGGATTCTTTGTCATGAATAAACGTGTTCAAGTCGGCCTTGTCGACGGCCGTGTCGTGTGCTAAAAGCTGAAGAAACACTAAGTCGATGAGGTTCGAACTTTCTTTCACAGTGGACATTTTCAGAACAAATAAAAGTGTAAACTTTCTCAGCACTTCAACAGAACCAACGGCCCAATCGTATGCAATTTTCCTAAGAATCGTTGACTTCCCTGCACCAACTGGTCCACACAGAATAACGCGTTTAATCACCTGGCCCTCTATCGTTGTTATGAGAAAGACATCCTCATAATTTTCAGTGTCCTCTTTTATGTCATGTACGTTTGTTTGGAGCAATATCTTTGTGTATACAGCCTTGATATGTTTCATGTCTAGCTCAATCCATGGAATTAACTGCACATAACTACCTGTTGTCATGTAGATTTTTTTCAATTCCTTTTGGCACTGAATAGCAGCCTCTTCCGGCCCAGTTATTGTTCTTCCCTCCACGCCTGTTAAAAAAAAGTTTATAACATCAGTATCAAGATCAGTGATGGCCTAAATTTGTTGATGAAGCAAACGGGGCAGGAAAAATTCAAACGTGTGATGTGTAAATTCTTGCCCACAGTTGTCTTTATTAATGCCACCTCTTTCATTGGTGATTAAAAATTGCATGTCCTCATTACCCCATGGGATTAACTACTCATGGCTACCTGTAGCCGTGCATTGCTCTTCCAGTTCGTTCCTGCATTCAGTGGCTATGTCTTGCCCTGTGGGTACTGCTTTTTCAGTCTCGACTGTCAACAAAAATCGAAACCAGATTTAAAACCGACGCTCACACCCAGTAACCATAAACCAGAACCATGAACCAAAGCCCAGAACTAAAACTCACAACAGGGAGAACCAGGAACCCAGAAACCATTACCCAGAAACCAGAACCAATTAATCATAAACCAGAACCAGAAACAAGAGCCCAGTACAAAAACCCACAACCGAGAACCAGGAAGTCAAAAACAAGAACCCAGAAACAAGAAACCACAACCAATTACTCCAAACCTAAAACTAAAACCAAAACGAGATAAATTAATGTGGTATGACCAACATATATTAACTATTATTATTATAATTTTAATCGGTATTTTGTCTCATAGCGGAAAGTTAACGTCAGACAGTAACTGCTTGTTTGAAAATTATCTCTTCATCTGCTACATTCTAACAACTCACGGAGAGGATACTAAATAATGCTGATATCAGTCGGGTACAAAACTTCCCAATTATTGCATTTTGAAAGCTTCAATCATTACTTTAAGTGTTAAATTGACATTTGCAATCATTTACCTAATCTGTTGTGCGTCAAGGTCACATTTTGAACAAACTGCAATGTCGGTTGATAAACCGGTGCCAAGAAGGTGGGACTGTTGGTTCCATAAATACTTAAGGCGTCCACTGACACTTGTTGCAGAGAACAATGTCTCTGGAGAGCAGATAATACTGACGGCGATCCGACTTGGGACGCTGAAGGAGCGATATCTCTCCCTAAAAGGCATGAATTCTGGTATAGTGGTGACATTTGTTTTTCCACTTTCTCCTGGAACTCAGCGTGCCCTCCATAAAAACTGTCCACTTGCGCCTCGCTTGGTTTCTGATATATTAATTTTTGAATTTTATTTTCCTCGGGTGCCGGTAGCATTCCTCTTGACGTTGACTGATATTCTGTGGTGAGCAGTTGCTGTTTATTCTGTGTTGTGTATCTGAACTGCCCCTCCATCACTTCATACTCGTTAATTGATGACACTTTATACTCCTTCGATGATGACACTTCATAGGCTTTAGATGGTGACACTTCATAGTCTTCCGATGATGACAGTTCATACTCCTTCGATGATGACACTTCATACTCTTTCGATGATGACACTTCGTCGTCTTTCGATGATAACACTTTGTCGTCTTCCGATGATGACACTTCATACTCTTTCGATGATGACACTTCATACTCTTTTGATGTTGACACTTCGTAATCCACCGATGATGACATTTCTTGTTGCGAGCACCGACGTAATTCTTCTCGTAATTGCTGTTTTTCTTGCTGGCTCGTGTCTTGATCCCCCTCCCGTCTTGTTCGGTTTCCCCAGTTTTCAGATGACCCCTCTCTCTCCAACTTCAGTCCTTCTGTCCCTGTACCTTTCTGTTGTCCCCGCTCTTCCTGTTCCAATCCCCCACCCCTATATGATTTCATTGATCCTTTTATGGAGCTCTCTTCTTGGCATGTTTCTGAAGAATAGTGTAAAGAATAATTACATCTTTTTTTACATTAGAAGAATAAGTACGTCTTGTGTTAGAAATCCGATATAAGTTTACAACCTTGATAAATTTCCACCAATTCTGGTCATCAATTTCACTTATTTTTGAACAACCCTCTAGCCATTTTATAGAATATTCCTGTCACAAATAGCCAGAAATAGTCTTACAGGGAGAGGGGTTCGCGTGTGACACATGTTATTAAGTGAGGTCTTTGTAAACGTTTTAAGACGGCTTAGCACATAATTATTCCTTTACTAATTTGTCATTGGTGCTCCACAACCACTACCCCCTCTATCCACAAAATGGTCTCGGACGATACTTGCATTTTTCAATGAAATTAATTCCCCGAATATCGCCCTGTATCATTCAAATTGAAATATATGTCTAAATATTCACTTTCACCCTTTTTCTGCCAGTAAACCTATCATGATTTCAAGTCTAAAAACGTTTGAAGGTGTGGGCGGTCCATGAAATCTAAACTCACAGAAATTAAATAATATTAAAAATTTTGATTTTTTTTCATTTAAAGAAATGACGCGAAAGGTTAAATTGGCACCGTACTTTCTTATTAACTACAAGTACATAGACTAAAATCACTTGCCTTTTAGATCTGGTCCACGAGGTGTCCTGAAAATTGGCTTACCGGACACCAATAAGATCACTTTGGAAAGTCCAATGGCAGTCAGTGCCTCTCTCAGTCTTTCCAGTCTTTCTTCAGGATTTGTCTGCTTTTTCCACCAAGAGAGTAACATCTGGTGGCTGCGTTCTTTGTTGCCTTCGAAGCTAGCACTGATCTGCCAGATTTCCGTTCTTCTGTAACTCAGACGCTCGGCCAGCTCTATCCAGGATTCTTCAACCTCGGTGGACAAATCCCTGAGAAACTGTTCATCAACCTGAACTTTGTCTGTTCAGAAACAAATGGAAAATTGTCATGATTGCCAGATTTTAATTGATATAACGGTGGTTGTTCTCTGTTATAAGGTAAAGGTCAGCGGCGTATCGGGGAGGGAAACTTCAACATCAAACACGGTTTTGGGCTCATTCAACATGCTGTTTGGAAGAATGTAGTTGATGTTGTTTTCTTAGGGTTTTGGTGCTGATAGTTGATAAACAAATTTAAAGATTACCTTTTTTCTACCCACCCATGAAGTATGCTTTGTAAACAACAACAACAACAACAGCAGCAGCAACTATCTGAAGACACTCAAGTTACCCCCACAAATCCCCTAACTGGAACATTTGTCGGATGATTTTGCACGAAGCGTATACAAATATTGATATCTATTTTGTCTTTATTTCAGCAGATTCCGTTTGGATCACGCATGTCCTTTGTATGGTTTGTCAAAGTTAATATCTCATAGTTATTAAAATTACCAAAGACAACATGATTCCAACGACATGATTTCCATTTTCAAAAGGCTATTTACCGTGTTGTCCACCACCCAACAGACCATCAGTTGGCAGGCAGAGTGAGATATTCTCATCCTGTTGAATTCCATAGTCGCCGAGAGTAAGCAGGTCACCAAGCTGACAAACATATTACAAAATAACATGTCTGATTACACAGATTTTCAAAGTTGGCAATTATTCTTGTGGAGTACATGTATACAGAAGTATATCAGAGTGAGCTGCTCGAGCTTGTTGCTTTTTGGTACATTTAACAAGAACAATGCACTTGAGAAATTTTGTACATGCTCAGCCCAAGTTAGACTAATGTTTCAATGGGGGAAATTATGCAAGTATCCTTACTTGAAAGTTGCGAAAATATCTCCTGATGTACAGACGCTGATGTTGATTTTGGACGCCGATCTTACTGAATATCAGTGATTTTAAGGTTGAGATGCATGTCTCCGGTTTTAGTTGGAGACAAAGCGTCTTCGGCCCCCGAGGGGTGGAATTCCGGACAAAGATCTGTAACTTCGTTTTCACGCATCTGAAGCTGCCGAAAGAAAAAATTCCTGTTTCAGACTTTAACATCAGCTCCAATGACACGCGTCAAATTCAAGGAATCTGTGCAGGAGTTGCTATGAACATTTAAATTTAAGTCACCTAACTGCAGATATTTATAACTTAGTATGCTGTATGCGATTTTTTGTCGGTCAGAAAATTGCACAAACGTTCGTTCATATGAAAGAAAGCATCGCCAACTATATTTTACCAGGAAACCCTCGACCCGTCGCTGTCACGAGCTGGCTCTCCTCTGTGCGTCTGCCCCTCAGGAGTCGGTTCCCCTTTTTGTTTGTTCTGCTCATCTTCTCTTACGTCGTTATGTGGTCCTGGCTCAGGCTCTTTGTCTCTGGGTTTATAAGTTTCTGACGAAATAACGTAACGTTTATTGACCGGTCATATTAATTTGAACTGGGTACAGAAATCTTGTTGTATTGATTACTGCTATTTTGGTCCAAACATTCAGTCAAATTAATTTTTAAACTTCGAAACTGAGCCCAAACGCTCTGAGTACGTTCGCTTGGCTTACACCAGGCAGCCCTGACGTGGGGATAGTGATGTGTGCGCTGTGCCAAACAAGTGAGACGGCGGGGATTCGTGGAAGCTAATCGAACTCGCCATTACACAATGCGTTTGGGGCAAAGCATGAAGGCCAACAGTCTCTGTTGCTTCTTTTAGCTTCTTAGCTGCTTCATCTTATTCCACCTGGCCTCGGTCGTGTTTCTGTTGACAGTCTGGATTTTAGCGATGTCTGCTTCATCGTATCCAAGGCATTTTCCCATGCCCCTCCATGCTGACCCATTTTTTGAGGACAAGTTCTCGAAAGGTACTCTTAGATAACGCTTGGTTTTTCTGCCATAAATCGTTTCATGACAACACTTTCGTTTCTTCTGCCATGATTTCTCTTTGTTTCTTTTGACTTGCTTTTTGATCAGATTGAAAATATGTAAAATTACCGTCAGAAGGTATGAATATTGCTACTGTCGCGGACTATTCCCAGACTTGGTAGTCTGTTTGACCTTTATGTCTTTACAAGGGAGAACAATTACACAGATATTCTTTGAAATTACCCGTCTGTTTAGGAATAGACTGTGAAAAACGTCAAAGGATGACAAACAATTATTGGAGATTAATGAAAACTTATTTAGAGCAACAGGCAACACGACCAATAATGATAACAACCACCACAATAAAGCCTAATTAAACGCCATTCATAACAATTGATCCATTTTTTTCTAAATCAAAAACAGTGACTTAATAATTTCAGGTTTAATCTAACGTTCAAAAACTTTACCGTTGGGTTCATCTTGAGCAGGGTTTTCAGTTGACAATGAGATGATGTCGTCTTTGTCTACAGCGTTTTTGTGTGGAGTAAGCTGATAAACAGGACCGAAAAGAATCATGGTTTAAAACAAAATCAAGCGAACAAAAGGGAAAAAAGCCGCCAAAACATAGATTAAACACTTGTACAAAGTGAAACTCCAAGCTAACCAGGGGATTCGTCGGAATCCTCCACAATGGAAATGAAACTTGGTTGAGAGGCTGAGAATGCATGATGTTGTATGACTGAAAGTCCAACATTTCAACTGAAAAAATAGTTTCCTAATTTACCTGAAAGTTTATTTCGCTGAAAAGTCGCTCATGTTTAGGCTGAAAACCGATCAACTCTTTCAAAGACGAGACTGCCGTTTCCCTACGCAGATCAAAGTAAAGTGTCTGTGGTCCATGATGGAGGGAAGTCGAGACGATAGAAACCTCAAGCTTCAGTTTCAATTTGCAATTGGTACTGTCATGAAAATAAAATAGCCATGAAAATTTTACAAGGGCTTTGTACGTTAGCAGGTTCTTATGCGACAGCTGAGCTGCTTGCAGACCAACTCTATTAAGTATGTGGAACGTCTGTTCGGAATTTTGTCCGAATTGAGCTGAAGCACCCCGTCATCGGGAGTATTAACTTTCTTTGTAGGCCCTATCATCGCGACTGCAAACGTACCTTTGCGTTTTCTAGTTGGTGAAGCAGCGATGCGCACTTAGTACCTAAGGAGCACCGGTTGCTGAGCTCAAGGCCCATTGGCGCTCAAAATAAGAGGTATTAGTTTTTCTGCTGTTGTATAGTATGACCAAAACAGTGTAGGGGAGGGGGTGGTGACCACTAGGCCATGGAAATTTGAAAAGCGGGGGGGGGGGGGGCTGGGCACTATACAAAGGGGCGACAGATGCATAAATACATCCATGGTAATGTATTTAAATCTTTTCTCAAAACTGTTTTCCCTTTTTTGGAGTAATATCGAAAACATTTTAGACACTGGGGAATGCAAAAAAAAATTGCAGTCCGCTTTAAATGTTGCTCATCACAAAAACGTGTGTTGGTGTTTTGGGGATGATTCAACATTCCCTCCCCGTTTTGGGTGAAAAGGTTCTACTCAGGAGCCTTTGCAAATTCACACCAGAGCTTTCGTGATACATTAAATTAACGGTCCGTTTATTGCATTTCAGACTTTCCAGGGAGGGAGTGGGGAATCCTTTATCTTTTCCTTGTCATTAGCCAAACGGCATTCAACAAAACAATTTCAAAGAATAGAATGCCAGAAAGAGTTCATTATCAATCTGCCGAAAACTGTGATCATAAGAAAATGATTGAGACACACGTTGTACGTACAATTAATTGATGCACACTACCTCTGTGTAGGCCCACAGGAGTCCCTTACCCTTCTGTTATCAGTTTGAGTTTTGGTTTTCGAGTACTTGGTGATAGTGATGGTCTCCTCTCAGTGCAGTAGCGACGGCCAGACGACTCCCTTCTCGTAATTAACAGGAATGTTTCGCTTCTACATCGTGTAACTTTGTTCTTTCTCGTGAATAGTTTGGCTTTGGAGTGGTTGTAGACGACGGCCGTTGCCTTGTCTTCACCCAACTCCCGAATGGTCTTCACTGGCATCAGTGGTTATAGGGTTAGAAGTTCTCAGGAAAGTGAATCCTCGAAAAGCTAGGCTGAATAACTAGGATGCATAAATCAGAGACACATTTGGAAAGAAAATCACAGTTTCCTAGTTATTACCTGGCACCCATTTTTGACGATGAAACAAGCAGGGAAAACTATGCGGTTTCTGGACCGTCCCCCATTTTTGTGCTAGTGTGTATTCTACTCTGTTCATGGTTCGATGCATACACTCAGCCAATGTGGAATCCCGTGGGGAATTCCCGTACAGTTTTTTAGGTCGAGGTCGGTGATTGTTTTTGCTTGCAGGCGCACACTTGTGGGAGTAGTGCTTTTCACTGGCATTTATTAGTTGATTCGGCGTTTCGGCGAAACAGCTCTTGTTTTCGTTAATTTTTATTTCTGTTTTTATTCTTTTCCTTTTCAGACTTTTCCCCATAGGGTTTGTACACGTTTTCTTCCACTAGTCGACTTTGGCAGTTTACTAAATCTGATCGACTTCAAACTTGGCAGACCTTTGGAATTGGACAATCATCCAAGGATGGTCCTAGAAGAAATTTGTAATAACGACGTCATCACGTGATTTCTTTTTGAATTTTGAATATTTGATTTTTTCCCATTGACTTTGTACACGTTTTAAAACCATAATTTTCAAACCTTCGCAATGATTGATCGCTAATCAAGGGCTACACAACAAAGACCCTTATTCAAGAATTCTTCAAAAGAAATGACGCCATGATGACGTCATCATGTGATTTAGTGTTGAATTTTAAATGCTTATTTCAGCCCATTGACTTTGTACACGTTTTCAAGGCCCAATTTTGAAACCTTTGCGGTGTTTGATCGTTATCAAAATTACAGCCAACAAAGACCCTGATACAAGACTTTTTAAAGTAAATGACGTCTTGATGACGTCTTCATGTGATTTGCTGGTGATTTTTCAAAATTTATTTCAGCCCATTGACTTTGTACACATTTTTTGCAGCCACCATTTGTGCAATTATCAGAGGTTTGATCAACATCAAAGTTACACGCAACAAAGAACCCCATGAAAGAATTTTCTTAAAGTTATGACGTCATGATGACGTCATCACCAAACAGTGGTTGTTCACAACCACGTTCGTCTACTTTTATATTTTTTACTTATCTCATTTTGAAAATACGTTTGAGGTTACAGAGGGATCATCTCCTTGCTTTGCCATCCGTATTGAGGAAAACTGATGAAGCATGGAGACAAAGATTCGTACTCTTCATCCATCGAAAAAAGACGTATAACAGACACGAAATAATCAAACCGTCGACCAGGATAGAGATGCAAATGCGGGTACATGTATATTGTTGTGCGGGGGCCATTGTTGACAACAGTTTTAATTAATCAACCGCTTGAGACAAGCACCTCTCAACCAAGAGGAATTGTAAAACTGCTTTGAGTATTTAGGTCCATTCGAATTTAAGCAGTCATTTCGTTCATTCCAAATCATCTAGAAGCTTAGGTGGCCTTCAACATTTACGGCACATCTGAGACAGGCTTATATATCAATAGTAGAATAATGACGATGCAAAAGATTCACTGACATGAAGATGATGTTTTTGAAACAAGAATATCAAAGAGAACAACGAAATGTGTATTAAAATGGCTATATTAACGAGAAACGAATAGCCACCTTTGAAAATCCCTTTGCGGCTCGATGACTCTTGACTTTATTAGACAAAAACTCGTACAAACTGCAGGATATTGAAAGGGTGGTCTGGGGTAGCGTTGAGCGAAATGGAATTACGCGACTGAAGCTGGTGTAAGACCACATCCACACCTGCTTAATGGAAAACAGTGCAACTGATTGATATGAAAGGGAAAAAAGAGATTTTGAAGTAAACACGATCGAATAACGTTTGCTTGAAGTTCAACAGAACTACTGGATTTGACCATGAATTTGGTCGGCCAAACCTGGCCTAACTTTAGAAAAGGTAGAATAACTAAACGCCACTTTAAAAGTCGTGCTTATGTAATTTAAATAAAACATTTACACATGTGAGCAGATATTACGGCTTTATCTGAATCGAAGGCTAACTAATACTTCTCTTTTACATTTGCATGAAACTCCGACTCCCTTGAACCAAATAGAACACGTACATTTAATTACTGCCGCACACGGCCCAGTGGAAAAGGTGCAGATACCACTGCGGACCGACATGCCACCCACTTCAGCATCAGTATCAATGAGCAAGGAACTGGAAAAAAAAAACTCGAAAAGAAAAAAAAAACGCAGACGCACAATTCACTTTTAACTGAGTAGTTGCAGGCTACTGTGCAGACCACTACAGGAGGCATAAGCTCGATCTCAGTGCATTGGCACTTTGAGGACAACGTTGTCTTCGAGATAAAACAATCGCTACGGAAGGACTGGTCATTTAAGGTAAATCACCGATCACTACTCAAGGGATTTTGTGTTGACGTGACAGATTGATTTCCTAAATAAAACTAGACTGCCTTTTCCTATGGAAACAGTTTTGTTCCAGTTAAAAAAACTGTCCCCATTTTAGATACAGTAGTAGCAGCTTTCTTTCATTGAAGGAGGTCTGTTTACAACTGAAAATGCCACTTTCAAATTGCATACTTAATTAAACGTTCCACTGATCAGTTGAATCGGATGGAAGTCATCAGTTGTGGCGAAAGTAAGAGTATTGATGCCATCATAAAAATATATGTCGTCTTAACGGACTTCTGTCTCATTGATACATTTCTTTTAAACGACTTATCTAAAGGGACTGCTAAAACAACTTAGAATGATTATCAGCAGCAATACGCTTCCGTAGGGTGAAATTGTCAGAATCTTCCTCTTTTTGCCTCCCATCCCCTTTAAGCGATTGTCAGTTTCAAAAAGGTAACGGGCTCAGAGGAAGACTTGAGCTTCAACTTTCAGTCCCATTTTTTGATTTAATGTTTTTTTTTATTCACAAGTGGAGGACTGATTCTTGTTATTTTCGACTGGTGAGATACTATGTTTGAAAAGGGTTGTTTTATAACTTACAGCCCCCCTCTCTTATTTCTTTGCTAAGGTTTCCACATTTTCATTTTTTCACTAGCTTTCAATAAAAAGGATTCCCGTATTACGGATTTGTGTACGCAGAAGAGGAAGTGTTCTCAAAGTGATGAGAAGGAACATCCCACTTGCAACTGAAAGTGTGCAGAAACTTCCCCACAGCAGAAATAAAACGCGCCGAGTGCGCTTGGATGTGCTTACACAGGCCTACATGTACACCATTCTTCATTGTTAGGGCCCGATGCCAAATCGGAGGTCAAACTAAAGAAATAGGAGTGTGCCCTAGCACATATTTTGTTCCGCACGGCTGATGAAAATGAAAATATTACTGCAAGAATTAGATCTGAATTGATGACGTCACATAATATTAACATACGTACTTTCCGATAAAGCCAGTGGGGATGGGAACGGTCCACTGAGCAGCGTAGAAAGGTATACGTAAACATATTTATGTCGTCATCAGTAGCGATTTCTATGACCGGAGAATATAAATATGGAGGCCATTAGACGGCGAGGAATGCTTTTTTTTCACTTTGACAGGCAACCATAAGCAATCATTATACTGATCACTGCTAAGCCAAATAAAAAGCAACTATTTTCTGTAGCTTTTACAGTGAATGTGATTTGGAAACTTGCATTCTAACACGAAAGTCAATTCGAATTCCTTTTAAAAGGGATCTTTCCTCTAGCAGTCATAAAAAGCCCATTTCAAAATTTGACTTTAGTATTTCAAAAAGAAGATAATCAGAATTGGGGAATATTTTTTAACTTTCACCTGTTTGAAACAAGCACACAGACGAGTAGCAGAAAGATGGTATTAAAATATACTCAAAGGTAACAATTAGAACAAAAAGATAATCACACACAATTACAACAAGGTTAAACTTGAGGGTTAGGGTTAGGGTTACCAGCTCATTTTAAGCTTGTTCAAAATATTGACTTAAAAACTTGAAGTTTGAATAAACTGCCTCTAATATCTATATAGATATTTATATATCTGTATCTATAAGTAAATGGAAAAAAATCCGCATGCAAAAATCATATTATTATTATTGCACAAAGTGATAGGAGACAGTGGCAAGTTAAGGACTTTGGGAAATGTTGTCTTGAATGCTCGAAAACAAAGGAGAACGACTCAACCGAAATTGAGTGTTTTGACTCATGTGACCAGAAATGAAACTTGATGAAAAAGTATACCTTAGTATAAACAAAATTGAACACTATACAAAGGCAAAGATATGAAAACAGTTTTTCCTGGAGGTTTATAGACAAAATTGTTTATCTGACTGTTGAGAGGCCCTTGCAAACTAAAGCACACTATGCATTCAGCTTCCTTCATACACAGTGTGAGCCTAACTGATTCGACAAGCTATTTCCGAGTTTGTATCTTGACTTGAGACACACTCGCCTCTAAAATCCCTGCTATATGGTACTGCTAGCCTACGTGAAACCTACCTCATCTGGGTTAATGAAGAGACACTAACGTTGTAGAGGAAAAAAGACAGCAATTCCATTCACTTTTTATTATACTTACGTAGTTTCAGGAGGTTGTACCAGTCGACACCGAAGGTTTGTCGTAGTGCATACTTATTACTATTTATTTCAGATAATTATTTCATCTATACATTGCTTACCCGAGTAAATCGGCGACGAAGGAAAGGGTGGCTCCTACCATAACTCCAGCATCGCTGAAGTAATGCAGTCATTACCCTAGGACTTTACATTAATCAAGTCATTAAGTTGCACCTGTACGTGGCCGGGAAAGAAGTTAGTGGGGACGTACACGTCACACAAAAATACGCGTCTTCAATAGACTTGTATCCAGTTGATCGATGTATCTTTGTAGTGCAAGCCAAACTATCGAACCAGGAAGTGGCAAATAGAAAAAGAATAATCTCCAGCATCCAAATCTACGTGAACTTTAGTAAAATTGGAAGGGATATGTGTAACAAAAATCTCTTCAACTCCAATGAAGATTACCTCAAATTAAAAGGGAAGTTTGAACTTCAACTGTAAAAGTAAATCACTTAGTTTCCTGGTGTCTAGTCGTATCATTCGAATGGCAATAACAAGCATACAAATCTGACCAAAATGAGAATTTAATAGACGGGAGCCAGGGAGTAAGTCATTTAAGTCTATGTTAAGGTCAATCCACAAACCCCGGCTTTATGCACAGTTCAGTCGAAACCTATTCCTGCTCACTCTGGCACATAGGTTTGTGGCTTTAATAACGTGATAGCATCCGCAAAGTCAACTTCAGTGTGATCTCGTGTGTATGACTGATGCCATGTACTTTCAGCACAAATATGGATATATGCTACTGCGCACATCAAAATCTGAATTATGAAAAAGAAGAAGTTCTAGCCTGAAAGTATCCATCAGGGTCGGGTGGTGGTGGCCACTTGCTCCTACGGAAACATTTTTGTTTCAGTTAAAAAACGTTGGCCATTTTAGACACAGTGATAGTAGCCTTTAGAAAGGGAGATCTTAATGTAACGAAAATGTCACTTTCTAATTGCATACTAAAACATTGTAATGGGGATAATAACGGCCTTCATTACTGCCCAACACCTGTTTAGTTGCTCTGTTTTCATGTACATATAAGTCTCTCATCTGCCGGTCTGTCCGTAGGAGCAAAATCTGTTGCATCACTGCAGACCTAGATGTTGCCATTAGTGTAATGTTAAATTTATTATACGTGTTATGTCAGTGCGGTTATATCATTATGCTTCACCCTTAAAATAAATGCAGTCGTTCAGAAAAAACTGCTCTGCACCCCCATCATTTCCAAAATGTGTATCCTCGTGGAGACATGGCCTTGTTCTCTAGTACTAATTAGGTCGCGTGTGAAACGATGTTTTCAAAATGACTGGAATTTTGACCGAATGTCCCTTATATAAAACCCTTCAATTTGCAATGGATTCTTAAACATTAAAAAAATCTGAACAATTTCCAAATATCAGTTTCGTGAAGTTCTTGTGGAGACCTATTCAACCCGTTCTTCTGGTTCTCCACAAGACATCCTACCTACATCTACAAAGAACATGACACTGTATGTGTTCCCAAATAAATTCACATTCACAGAGGATTAAGGAAATCTCAATCAAATCCAAAGGATAAAACCTTGCGGAAGTCATGAATGAGGGCCACTTGCCAAAAAATGACGTTACTCTCTTAATACTGCTCCGTATTTATGTGCAATTCTGCCAAATATACCCACAGTTGCACGGAAATATCTGCAAAAAAAGCGAGAGTTCATGTCCTACTGCTTGGCATTTTATGAAATTCCTTTGCCAACACTTTTCACGCAAAGATGTGTCCTTTTATTGGAGAATAGTGGCTAAAGATACGCTAAATCTGGTAATCGTGGCAAAATCTGAAAACGTCTGATAACGTCTGAAATGATATATATAGACCTATCTTCCCCTATCCCAATGATCCATATTCGACGCAGTAAGGGGTAAGCATTTCCGTATTAGGTGACAAAGGTTCTGGTCAGTCATGCTTCCTGAATTGTCGTTTCTCATGTAGTTAATTTGAGTTTGGTGCATTTGGCCCATCCTCGTGTATTTTGAGAGGTTAATGTTTCTCTATTGACTCAAGCAAGCTTCATGTCTATTTCGCAACAGTTGGAGAAATATCCGAGAAAACAATGGAAGTTCGTGTCAGGATTTTTCTATTTTGTCATTTTGCCATTGCACACATGTTAGTTGCTTCGAGTTTCATGCCACGAGGAGTCTCCATATCTGAGCACAAAAGTATGAAAATAGTCCTGATAGGTCCACCTTCGTATCGTCATTCGACAGTTTAAATGCTTTCTATCCACATTTTCATTTCCACATTTTCAAAGGTTGGCGATACGTCTGCCAATGAAGTCGAGACTTCCTGTCAGTCAGTCTTTTCATTTATTATTAACCGCGTTGGATAACACGTGAGTTGGTCTCTTTTTCGAGCAAGGTTGCATCTTTATATATGAGCAAAAACAATCTTAAAGTGGTAAAAATCGGTCCTTATGGGTGTCATTACTGGTGTCAAGGGATAAATGATCTCTATCGACTAGTGCACATTTCATTTCCATTTACTCAAGGTTGGGAAAATATAGAGTTTGTCAGGAATGATTCCTGTTTGGAGTTTTTGCACTTTCAATTCAACGCGATGTGTCGAAATCTAAGCAATTTTTCATATTCTGGTATGAAATTTCTTACAATCCAAACAAAAAAATCAATAAGCTCTTCCACTGTAAGATTAGGAAAATGGATATAGCTCGGATGTTCATCTGTGGATTCCATTGGCAAAATCCACAAATCGCACAAGTAATACAACCTCATTAAATCGAGATCTACCAATTTTAATGCTGATTGGGTGTCGAATATTCATTTCACAATTGTATTTTGTACTAGTTTAAAATCTGAATTTCTAAAATGTTGAAAAGAGATCGAAAATAAAATTAGTGGTAGGCCGACATCATCTGAATATGTATACATAGGCATCTTAAATAAAGAATTAGTAATGGTTAAGCGAGAAAAACTATTACCTGTGCATTTATGATATCTAATTTCCAACATTAACAACATTAGTTTAAAACGGTTGTCACATTTTCCATCTTTCACTGAAAGCCTCGACCGAAATGACCATAATTATTTACCAGTGCTTATAAAACGACTTCAGTGTGTAAAATTTGTTAAGCATCCGCATTGAGAAAGTACCCCTCTGTCCAGTTGGTTTAATACGCGGGGTAGATTGTGACTAAACTAAGAGACTCTTACTTTCACTTCTGGGCCTTGTCTTTTCCATACAAATAGGTGGGAATAACTATTAACTTGCTGTTATAAACTTAATAGATAGCTACAACGCGAACAATAGAACAAAGTGGGTGCAAAATAAAAATGTCTGCGAGGGAGTTTCACGGCCCATTCTGATCTGTAGTTTAGAATCGTAAATGATAAGTTGTTTCCCTTTTTTCATTCTTACAGTAAACAAACGATTGACTATCATCTGTGAATTTTGCCTTTGAGAAAGATTCTGCTTGGATCGAAACGTCAGGCCCTCCATATTTTGAGATTCGTATTTTAGGTCATTGTCGTCAGCAAGCAGTTTCCAGCAGGTTTTTTTATTACATATCTATGATTTTCAATAGAATATTGAACAGAAAATCTTGACTCCTAATTGGTATGCAGACAAGTAAATAAAAAAGATTATTTTTTGCGTATGTGCTCGTCCTCATCCTTAGGCAGTGATGAGAGTCGATTGATCGAGCTAGATTTATTTTTAAGCACTGAGTCCGTGACAAGAAGGTCCAAGATGGACCAAAGCGATTCGAATTCAGCAAACAGCACATAGCTGAGGATATTTGGCTGTGAAACCTTTCTTGGGTGAAGTGTCCCAGGGCATGACTTTAAGGGGCTCTTAATCGAAGTCGTTAATGGGTCTGTCGGAGGACCTATCGAAAGTCTCAAAAGAGAGAAAGTCATCCGGGGAGAAAAAGTCCTGACGATAGGACTCTTCATTATCCTTGCCATCGGCTCCGTCATCGGACTCGCCATCAGTTCCGTCATCGAACTCTTCATCAGCTCCGTCATCAAACTCTCGTTCATTCCCGTCATCGGACTCATCATCGGACACGTCCTCGGACTCGAAATCAACAGTGCTTTTCCGTACCTCAGAAATGTGTCTCCTGTCTTGTTTCGTCAGAGAGCAGCCACTCACTCTGAGCATAAGGACATGCTCCATCTGTCTTAGAT